AAGAAGACCGCAGACACAATATGGTTTAGATGGCCAAAGACTGCAAACCTCACTCAAGGAAAAAGATCTGGGGGCGAGTATAACACCGAGTATATCTCCTGAGGCGCACATCAATCAGATAATTGCTGCAACATACAGGTGCCTGGCAAACCTACGGATAGCGTTCCAATACCTCAGTAAGGATTTGTTCAAGACTCTGTATACCATTTACATCAGGCTCATACTGGAGTATGCAGCACCAGTTTGGAATCCACACCTAGTCAAGCACGTCAAGAAATTAGAGAAAGTGCAAAGGTTTGCAATAAGACTAGTCCCAGAGCTACGGGGATTGTCCTACGAAAAAAGGTTGAGGGAAATCGGCCTGACGACACTGGAGGACAGGAGGGTCAGGGGAGACATGATAACGACATATAAAATACTGCGTGGAATAGACAAGGTAGACAAAGATGGGATGTTCCTGAGAAGGGACACAGACACAAGAGGTCACAATTGGAAGTTGAAGACACAGATGAATCAAAGGGATGTTAGGAAGTATTTCTTCAATCATAGAGTAATCAGGCTGTGGAATAGCCTAGAAAGTGACGTAGTGGAGGCGGGAACCATACATAGTTTTAAGGCGAGGTATGATAAAGCTCATGGGGCAGGGAGAGGACCTAGTAGCAATCAGCGAAGAGGCGGGGCCAGGAGCTATGACTCGACCCCTGTAACCACAAATAGGTGAGTACACACACGCACGCACATGTGCACACACATGCGCACACGTGCACACGCGCGCGCGCACACGTGCACAAGCGCACACACACGCACAAACACGTGCACACGCACAAACACGTGCACACGCACGCGCACACATGTAGTTCCCATTTTTAAAAAAGGAGACAGAAAAGAGGCACTAAACTATAGACCTGTGTCATTGACATGTATAGTATTCAAAGTTATATGGAGAAGGTTATCGGGAGAGTGGTGGAGCACCTGGAACGGAACAAGAGTATAAACGACAACCAGCATGGATTCATGGAAGGAAAATCCTGTGTCACAAACCTTTTGGAGTTTTATGATAAAGTAACAGAAGTAAGATACGAGAGAGAGGGGTGGGTTGATTGCATCTTCTTGGACTGCAAGAAGGCCTTTGACACATTTTCTCACAAGAGATTAGTGCAGAAGCTAGAGGATCAGGCTCATAACAGGAAGGGCACTGCAATGGATCAGAGAATACCTGACAGGGAGGCAACAACGAGTCAGGGTACGTAATGGTGTATCACAATGGACACCTGTGACCAGCGGGGTCCCACAGGGGTCAGTCCTAGGACCAGTGCTATTTTTGGAATATGTGAAAGACATGATGGAAGGGTTAGACTCAGAAGTGTCCCTGTTCACAGACGATGTGAAATTAACGAGGAGAATTAAATCAGATGAGGACCGGGCAGGACTTCAAAGAGACCTGGACAGACTGCACACCTGGTCCAGCAACTGGCTTCTCGAATTTAATCCCACCAAATGCAAAGTCATGAAGATAGGGGAAGGGCAAAGAAGACCACAGACAGAGTATAGGCTAGGTGGCCAAAGACTGCAAACCTCGCTCAAGGAGAAAGATCTTGGAGTGAGTATAACACCGAGCATGTCTCTGGAAGCACGCATCAACCAGGTAACTGCTGCAGCATATGGGCTCCTGGCAAACCTGAGAACAGCGTTCCGATACCTTAATAAGGAATCGTTCAAGACACTGTACACCGTGTATGTCAGGCCCATACTGGAGTACGCAGCACCTGCTTGGAACCCGCACTTGATAAAACACATCAAGAAACTAGAGAAAGTGCAAAGGTTTGCAACAAGGTTAGTTCCAGAGCTAAGGGGAATGTCTTATGAAGAAAGGTTGAGGGAAATCAGCCTGACAACACTAGAGGACAGGAGGGTCAGGGGAGACATGATAATGACATATAAAATACTGCGTGGAATAGACAAAGTGGACAAAGACAGGATGTTCCAGGGAGGGGACACAGAAACAAGAGGTCACAATTGGAAGTTGAAGACACAGATGAGTCAGAGAGATATTAGGAGGTATTTCTTCAGTCAGAGTTGTCAGGCAGTGGAATAGCCTAGAAAGTGATGTAGTGGAGGCAGGAACCACACACAGTTATAAGACGAGGTATGATAAAGCTCATGGAGCGGGGAGAGAGAGGACCCAGTAGCAACCGGTGAAGAGGCAGGGGCCAGGAGCTAGGATTCGACCCCTGAAGCCACAAATAGGCGAATATACACACACACACACACACACACACACACACACACACACACACACACACACACACACACACACACACACACACACACACACACACACACACACACACGCGCACGAGCTCGGACTCGACCCCCGCAACCTCAACTAGGTGAGTACACACGCACATGAGCGCACACACGCGCGCACACATGCACACACGCGCACACACACGTACAACAGGCCTAATGTCTAATCGACATGTGCCTAGGACAAAATGGTAACTAACATGCATGCGCACACACACGCACACACACATGCGCACACACACACGCACACCTGGTCAAGCACGTCAAGAAGTTAGAGAAAGTACAAAGGTTTGCAACAAGGCTAGTCCCAGATCTCAGGGGAATGTCGTACGAGGAAAGGTTGAGGGAAATCGGACTGACGACACTGGAGGACAGAAGGGTCAGGGGAGACATGATAACGACATACAAGATACTGCGAGGAATAGACAAGGTGGACAGAGATAGGATGTTCCAGAGAGGGGAGACAGAAACAAGGGGTCACAACTGGAAGCTGAAGACTCAGACGAGTCACAGGGGCGTTAGGAAGTATTTCTTCAGTCAGAGTCGTCAGGAAATGGAATAGCCTAGCAAGTGAAGTAGTGGAGGCAGGAACCATACACAGTTTTAAGAAGAGGTATGACAAAGCTCAGGAAGCAGAGAGGGAGAGGACCTAGTAGCGATCAGTGAAGAGGCAGGGCCAGGAGCTGAGTCTCGATCCCTGAAACCACAATTAGGCGAGTACACACACGCGCACACACATGCACACACCCAAGTGTTTTTACCCAAGATGAATGTTTGAAATTAGTGAATAACTGAAAAATTGTCCTTAATCGGTTTTTATACCTGGAGTTTACCTGGAGAGGGTTTCGGGGGTCAACGCCCCTCTAGCCCGGTCTGAGACCAGGCCTCATGGTGGATCAGGGTCTGATCAAGCTGGCTGTTACTGCTGGCCACACGCAAGCTAACGTACGAACCACAGCCTGGCTGGTCAGGTTCTGACTTTAGGTGCCTGTCCAGTGTCTTCTTGAAGACAGCCAGGAGTCTATTGGTAATCCCCCTTATGTGTGCTGGGAGGCAATTGAACAGTCTTGGGCCCAGGACACTTATTGTGTCATCTCTCACTGTACTCGTGGCACCCCTGCTTTTCACCGGAGGAATGTTGCATCTTCTGCTGAGTCTTTCTTTCATATGGAGTGATTTTCGTGTGCAGGTTTGGTACTAATCCCTTCAGGACCTTCAAAATGCATATTATCATGTATCTCTCGCCTGCGTTCGAAGGAATACAGATCAAGAACCTTCAACCGTTCCCAGTAGTTTAGGTGCCTTATCGCGCTTGTGTGTGCCGTGAGTGTTCTTTGTACACTCTCCAGGTCTGCAATGTCGCCAGCCTTGAAGGGGGCTGTTAGTGTACAGCAGTATTCCAGCCTAGAGAGCACAAGCGATTTGAAGAGAATCATCAAGGGCTTGGCATCCCTAGTTTTAAAGGTTCTCACTATCCATCCTATCATTTTCCTAGCAGATGAGGTAGATACATTGTTGTGGTCTTTGAAGGTGAGATCCTCTGACATTATCACTCCCAAGTCCTTCATATTACTTTTCTATTCTATTGTATGGTTAGAATTTGTGGTATAACCTGACACATTTTTAATTTCTTCAAGTTTTCCATATCTGATTAGTTGAAATTTCTCCTCGCTGAACTTCATATTGTTTTGAGTGGCCCATTCGAAGATTTGGTTGATGTCCACTTGGAGTCTCGCGGTGTCTTCGATGGAGGTCACTGCCATGGTGATCCGGGTGTCGTCCACAAAGGAAGACATGGAGCTATGGCTTACATCTCTGTCAGAAATGAGGATGAGGAATAGAATGGGAGCGAGTACTGTGCCTTGTGGAACAGAGCTTTTTACCGTGGCTGCCTGGGACTTTACTCTGTTTACTATTACTTTTTGTGTTCTATTTGTCAGGAAATTGAAGATCCATCTACCAACTTTTCCCGTTATTCCTTTATCCCGCATTTTGTCTGCTATTACACCATGGTCACACTTGTCAAAAACTTTTGCAAAGTCTGTGCATACTACATCTGTATTTTGTTTATCCTCTACAGCATAGTGGTCCAGTAGCTGGGACAGGCAGGAGCGACCTGTTCTAAACCCGTGTTGCCCTGGGTTGTATAACTGATGGATATCTAGGTGGTTAGCTATCTTGCTTCTTAGAACCCTCTCAAAGATTTTTATGATATGGGATGTTAGTACTATTAGTCTGTAGTTCTTTGCACTTGCTTTACTGCCACCTTTGTGGAGTGGGGATATGTCTGTTGTTTTTAGTGAGTGTGGGATGACCCGTGTCCATGCTCCCTCTCCATAAAATGCTGAAGGCAAGCGATAGGGGTTTCTTGCAATTCTTGATGAACACGGAGTTCCATGAGTCTGGGCCTGGGGCAGAGTGCATGGGCATGTCATTAATTGCCTCTTCAAAGTCTTGTGGAGTTAGAATAATATCTGAGATTTTTGCACATTTTGTACAAAAATGGAGAAATACAACACTATTACAGCATGTTTGGAATACTTTTTTTGACCTTTTTACGTCTATATACAGTACCTTCATATTTAAGAATATATTGGTATATGATACCATTTTGAGTACTTATAGAGAACAGTACAGATAATGTACAAGTAATATTTACATTAACATGAAACTGAAAATGAGATAAAAGTTACCTGAGAGAGTGATGCTAGACCTTCAGCTCCTACTGGCCTTCTCTGCTGCAGACTCATTTGGTATTGTTGCTGTTGCTGTTGCTGCTGCTGCTGTTGCTGCTGCTGCTGAACCTGCTGCTGCTGCCGAACCTGCTGCTGCTGCTGAACCTGCTGCTGCTGCTGAACCTGCTGCTGCTGCTGAACCTGCTGCTGCTGCTGAACCTGCTGCTGCTGCTGAACCTGCTGCTGCTGCTGCTGCTGCTGCTGCTGCTGCATTTTCTGCAATTGCTGCTGCTGGCTCTGTTGGCATCCAAAACAGTTAGCATCCTCTCCAAGATACATTACTATGTACCTCAAACATTATTACTTACATTATACAGGCAGGCCCTGCTAATACAGCAGGTTAGGTTCCAGGCTACTGCTGTAAAGCAAAAATTGCTGTAAAGTGAAATAGTCTATTTTCACTCTCAAGTGCATATAAAAGCCTGATAACATGTTTACACTATCATAATAAGTGAGCAATAGAGCTAGGCCTAAAAAATGCATATACATAAGTACACACATTACTTACCTTAGATATTTTCACCCTTAGCTTGTAGTGAGTGGTGAATATATTTATTGTAGGAAGTCTGAATAAATGAAGAACGAGTATAACTGAAAACCGCTGCATTAGTGAAGCACTCTAAAGTGAAGTGCTATAAAGTGGGGCCTGCCTGTACTACTCTATCCCTACTCACCTATGCTTCGGTGCCTGGGGAGCCACTACAGCAAATCACCTTACGCCAAAAAAACACAACAAAGAATCAGTAGAATGAATGGTTGCCCAGTCTACTGCCAGAGAACACTTCTCCACTCTTCAAAAACCTAATCCTACTTAATATAAAATTCACTCATACTACTGTGCATGTTACACACAAAATCAATTCAATGTCACCTTTGCCCTGAAACTCTTTGCTGATAGTTGCAACAGAATTCATAGTCATAATACTAGACATAATGATATGATATTCACTGTGTCTGGCTTAATCTTTGTCAAAACTCAGTGTGCATAAAAGGACCTAAAATCTGGAACTCTCTACCTGAAAACTCCAGTCTCACTCTTTTTTCTTTTCTTTTTTTAAATGGGGTTTGACAAGGTTAGGTTAAGGATCCTTAGCTTTATTGATGAGCTAAGAGCTGTTACCTACATCAGCTCATTTGAAAGCATTTTTATTATGAAACACACAAGTAGGGAACAGGATGAAGTCGGAGCCATCTGTGGGCCAGCATTTTCATTTGATCAACTATCTCGCTGACATCATAATGCTGTAAGAATGTGTTCCAGACTCGAGTCATCTTGGGGATAAATCATCTCAGGTGAAGGGATGTTCTGGAAAAGGATACAGCCAAAGTGAAGTTGCTGCATTCTACCAGTCTTGTGGTATAGAAGCTTGCTTCTTGCAGTCCTCGAAGTGGATGCAAGTGCGGTACTTTGACAATGTTGGCCTTGTACATAACAGTAAGGCCACCCACATTCCTCCTGTGTTGAAAGCTCTGCTGAAATGACAGATCTATTCAGGATGGGTCCAGGCGAGAGAGGAGATGTCTTGCTCTGTTCTCTACTCTGTCAAGCAGTCGCAGATGAGAAGGAGTGGGGGCAGGAAAACCAAAAAAGTGGAGCATACTCAAGGTGTGAGCGTACTTGTGCCTCATACAGAATCTTGCAAGCCCTATTGTCAAGCAAATGCGAGATACCTGGAGTTTACCTGGAGAGAGTTCCGGGGGTCAACGCCCCTGCAGCCCAGTCTGTGACCAGGCCTCATGGTGGATCAGAGCCTGATCAACGAGGCTGTTACTGCTGGCTGCACACAATCCAACGTACAAGCCACAGCCCGGCTGGTCAGGTACCAACTTTAGGTGCTTGTCCAGTGCCGGTGAAGTGCCTTGTTTGCAAGATTTACAACGTGGTTCTTCATGGTCAGTTTGGAGAAAATTTCACCCCAAATATATCAACTTCTTCTCCAGGTGCCAACACCCTCCCATTCATACTTACTACTGCACCAGCATTACCATTATGGTGCCTAGAAACCATCATCATTTGTGTTTTCTCAGGTGCAAATGTTACTTGCCATCTGTTCTCCCAAGCTGATATAGCTCTTAGTTGGTGACTGGTGTAGCTTAGAGCAGCTGGCATTTCTTCTCTTGGATAAGTGAATGTCAGAGTACAGTCATTCACATATGCATGGGATTCTGGGTCATATGAGATGAAGGAGGTCACTGAAGTAGACATTCCATAACAATGGTCCCAGCACACTTCCCTGTGGAACACTTGCCCCAATAGGATGCCTTGCTGATTCCGTTCCATTGAGGACTACACTTAGAGATCTACCATGAAGGTAATCACTGAGGAGACATAGCGTAGAGCCTGCAATTCCCAGTGCTTGAAGTTTTGCTAAGAGGCCCTGGTGCCACACCCGGTCGAAAGCGCCAGCAATGTCCAGTGCTACCACACAGCTGACTTTGGATTCATCCAGTGACTGGTGCCACTTAGTGGAGAGGTTTAACAACAGATCAGCAGCAGAGTAACCTTTCCTGAAGCCATATTGACGATCACAAAGTAGTGAGTGGTAGTCAAAAAAATCTGTCATTTGACTGAGATTATTGTCTCAAGGATCTTACCAGTGATTGACAGGAGTGACACTGGTCTGTAGTTGCTGATTTCTGCTCTGCTCTTCTTTTTGTGAACAGGGACTACATTTGCCTCTTTCCATGGAGAGGGCCATTTACACTGTACTAGGCAGTGCTGAAAGATGCGAGTTAGAGGTGCTGCTAGCTGGTCTGCACATCTTCTCAACAATCTTGGGCTCAACTTGTCTGGGCCCACAGCCTTTTCTTGGTCAAGTGATTTAAGAAGGAAATGCACCTCCTCCTGCCTTATTGTCGCCACTGACAGTTTTGACACAGTTCTTGCAGCTAGCCAAGGAGGGTCCCTTGCTAGATCAGGAACTTGCATTTTGGTAGCAAAGTGTTCAGCAAAGAGGTCCGCCTTCTCTTGACTACTAGCAGAGGTGGTCCCATCCTGTCGATTTAGAGGTGGAATAAGTTCATCAGGCAGATAACCTTGTCTGTCCTTGACCAGGGACCACCAGTTTGACCCTCCCCTCCCTGATGCTAACTTTCTTTAGTGTCCACCTCCCATTTAGAAAGGGCCCATTTTTGAACACACCCAATGCCTACAGCTTGATGTGCAATTTCCTGTTATAGGGGGTAGGATGTCTTTTCCCTTTCCCCATGCTTTGTATTAGCAGTAGCACCTCTCTACAACGAAAGCAAACCAAGGCGATCTGAGGCTTTGTACTTTTTCCGGTGAGGAATGTTTTCTTGTTGCAGTTTAAGGATGTGTCCATGAAGGTTTTTCACTTGGTTGTAAATCCCCTGGAGAAGAGCATTCCAGTGTGGTGGCGAGCTCAACAAAGGGTGGCCAATTACCTTTTTCCCCATAGCCATTTGGCGTGTGGACTCCTCATTTGTTCTTTTGGGGATTTTAAATGTGGTAAAAACCCCTTGGGGTAGACGATCCAACGTACCCGAGGGGTTACAAGGATATGCCTTCTCCCAGATCACTCATACTGGGTCAAGGGAGGACCCAGAGATATGATAGGGAAATCAAAAAAGTTTCTTATGTCAAACACGAAAGAAGGCATAAAAAGTCCCTCGTAAAAGGGTGCTGGTTGAGGTCACCAAAAATTAAATATTTGACAGTTGTGTTTACAAAAAGGGAGTCAAATATTTCCATTGGGAATTGATAGGGTCTGCGTGTTGCCACTGAGGTCTGTACATTGACTGCTATCAGAGGTACTAGTGTTTATACGAGATTGAAAGAACATCATTTCAAGATGGAGGGGTGGAAAACATCTATGTGCGGGGCATAAACACTTTTAGAGAACACAACAACCCCACCTCCTTCCCCTTTGCCTGTTTTTCTATCCATGGGTGTACCCAGAATTCTTGCAAAATTTTCGGGAGTCCTTCTCCAAAAATGTTTCACAACAGCTATCATGTCGGGACATCGAGTTTCACAAAGCTATGTGTGAGCTCTCCAACATTAGTAATAAAAACCCTCAATGTGGCCCGACAGGATGCTGATAGATGGCTCCTCATGATGAAGGGGTTTCAGCTTGAGGGGGGGTATGTGGGAATGTAAGGTGCCTCCCCTTTGAGAGGGGTTTAGGGGTATGAGGCAGCTGCAGGATGAGGTTGGGGGTTTGTAAAGGCCCAACCCCACCGCTGGGCTGGGATGGGAGTGCAAGGGGGTGACGTGTGAGAGTTTTTCCCAAATTTCAGAGATCCTGCTGGTTTGTTCTGAGAACGGGTCTCTAAACGGGTTTGGCCCTGTCTGTAAAGTTCCTTTTTCTTCCGCCCGGGTCCTCCTTAGTCCTTTTTTTGTAGCAAAAATTCCCCTGGTATCCGCAGGCGTTGTTTGGGGAGTGCCCCTTCCGGTGACAGCGAGAGCACAGCCTGGGGCCGGGGGGGTGGGCTAGGATTTTTGCACCTCCTGGTTCCGCAGATTTGTCCTCAGTTCTGCCGCTGGAACTGTGTTATGGAGGGGGAGCGGTGTAGAGCTTTTTTCCCCCCCACGTCCCCTCCCGTCCTCTCCCCCCCTCACCCGTTCGACAGATGTCTCCTCTCTCAGTCTCTCCTCCTCTTCAGTCTTCTCCTCTCAGTCTCTCCTCTCTCCTCTCTCTCTTTAGTCTCTCCTCTCTCAGTCTCTCTCTCTCTGTTCTCCTCTCTCCTTTTTCCTCTCTCTCTCTCTTCTCTCTCTCTCTCTCTCTCTCTCTCTCTCTCTCTCTCTCTCTCTCCTTTTTTCCCCTTTTCTCTTTTCTCTCTCATCTCTCTCCTCAGTCTTCCTCCCCAGTCTCTCTCTCTGTTTTCTCTTCTCAGTCTCTTCCTTTCCTCTCTCTCAGTCTCTCTCTCTATTTTTCAGTCTCTCTCCTCTCTCTCTCTCTCTCTCTTCTTTTCTCTCTCTCTCTCTCTCTCTCTCTCCTCTCTCTCTCTTCTCTCTCTTCTCTTCTCTCTCCTCTCTCTCTCTCAGTCTCTCTCTCCTTTTTCTCTCTCTCTCTCTCTCTTCTCTTCTCTCTCAGTCCTCTCTCTCTCTCTCTCTTCTCCCCTCTCTTCTCTCTCTCTTCATCTCTCTCTCTCTCTTCTCTCTCTCTCTCTCTCTCTCTCTCTCCTCTCTCTCTCTCTCTCTCTCTCTCTCAGTCTCTCTCTCTTCTCTCTCCCTTTTCTCTCTCTCTTTTTCTCTCTCTCTCTCAGTCTCCC